TAAATGTATAAGTTTAATAAATTTCAATCTAACTTCTTTATAAGTCTTTATTTATTAACTATTATTTTATAATTACATATTTATTGCTAGTTTTATATTTATTTACATAACATTATAATGATGTAGCAAGTTTTAATTGTATGTGATGTCCACGCAAATGTACCTATGCGCTTGCATATAAATAATATAACATAATTGTGTGTAATGAATAATTTTCATAAGATTTTTTTTTATTTGCTTATTTGTTTATTTAGTTTATTCGTTTACTTATAACAAATTAATTTAATTAAATACTGCGTGTATTATTTGGTAGATATTAAATTGATATAATATTGACGTTAATTATAATTGGATATTACATAATAATTATACACAATAATTATACACAAGATTTTGTAAAATAAAGATCAAAAATTATATCAAATTATTTTTAATGTTACAATATTTGTCGTCTATATTTTCATACTTCACGACGCTACGAATAGTCATGCAAAATGGACAAAATAAAGATTAATAAATAAAATATTAATTTACTATTATAATAGTATAATTCACTATTAATCTTATTTTATTCTCTTCAAATAGTATAATATAATACTAATAATATGTAATATAAGGTTACATTAAAATATAAGAATTGATAGATATACTATGAAATATCAGAATAAAGTTATAATGATGAATGATATAGGAATAAATTCAATTTAATGCAAATAAATGCGAGTGTCATGTTATCATTTAATTATTCAAGAAACTTATTTCAATGATTATAAGAAAATACAATACCGCGGCGATATATAATACTATTATGTCATAAATATATATTATAGTGAATAATAAATTATAAATTAGACTTCATTGTAAGCTAATTATTATCTATCTATATTTTTATCAATGTAGATCAACTTTAATCACAATTAATCATTTTTTTATTTCTTTTTTTCGTTCTGATAATTTGAAATAGATTTGAAATAGATTTCGAACTCATGTTAATAAAAAACAAAAATTAAATCAACAGTTGATAATACAGTATTGCAAATCCTCACGTGTCATTTGTTAGAAACTTGTTAGCACATATCGAGCACATTGTGAGTTTGGTGACATTTGTAGATAAGACAGTTTCAATCATCTGTTTGGGCTGTATAAATATTTTTGATAATAATTGAAGGACGTAATCTTTAATAAATGTTATAATATTTGTTATAGTATTTGTACAAATGTAAGTAATAAATAAATTTATTTTTCTTAAATATTGTTCATTACATGAACAAAATATATTTCTAACCTAAAAATGTATTGTCGTATTTTGTTACAGTGATCAACAAATTTATATTCTACTATATTAAATCGTTATATTAAATCATAAAATTTAACATGAATTACGAGGAAGAGTCTTTACTTTTGGAAGACAAAAGTCGGGTAAGCTTTTTTTCTCTATATTTTTATTTCTCTTAGTTAGATTGATTATACAAAACAATTTTCATGAAAAAGCTTGTATATGCATGATGTGTTTGTTTCAGGAGCAAATACGAGAGGAATTAAAACATATGAGTTTTGAGGACTTGCAGAAGTTAAAAGAAAAATTAGGTACCAAAGTGTATAATCAGAGAGTACTTGGAAAAAAATATAAGAAGAAAACAGAATTTAAGCGGGAAAATAAGAACAGGCCAAGAGAAATGTCTGCCAAAAAACCAGTTCCAAAATATAAACAAATAACTGAAGTCAAAAAAGTTGTATCTCGAGATCCTAGATTTGATAGTTTATGTGGTACATTTGATCAGAAGGCCTTCAAACGTTCTTATGCATTTATTAATAAATTGCGAGAAAACGATCTCAAAACTTTACAAAAAGAATTGAAAGAAACTATAGATAAAAAAGTTGTGAAAAAGATAAAATATCTCATTCAGAGACTTGAAAATCAGTTAAGAGAAGAAAAAAAGAGGAAGGAGAAAGAAGAAAAGAAATTACAAGAAAAGAAAGAACTGCTACAATCTTTTAAACGAGGAGAAAAGCCTGTTTTCAAGAAAAAATGTAAGTTCTAAAATCCTATCATTAACACAATACTAATTCATTTTCTAATCACATTTTCTAATCATTTTTTTATGTTGTCTGTTTTTTGCAGCTGATAAAAAGATCTTAGATTTAGTTTCACGGTATGAAGAATTGAAAAACACAGGTAAACTGAATAAGCATTTGCGACTGCAAGAAAAGAATAAATGCAATGATAAGCCAAAATTGAAAAGAGACAGAACAAAATGAAACGCGTTTATACTTAAATAATATAAGAGATGTGTAATTATGTAATAAAATATGTAAATGTAATTTGTAATTGTGTATAAATTTTTTAATGGTATTCCTAACTGTAAGCAGAGAGAAACCTTAGGCTATTCCGATTTTTTTTGTGAGATCGTCAATGTCTTCTGTACATTATCGCCAGTACATCCATTTTTAAATTTAGAACATCCATCTTCCAATATTGCTGATAAAATCTGGTACGTATCCATGTTGCATCCACAATTCATGGACGAAGAATATATTTATATAATATACACCCGTACATAATTTTTTGTTGTAGAATAAAGTACTAATTATTTTCAACATAATATCTATATTTATAAATATGTTCATATTTATATGTACATATGTATACATACATATGGCATGTTTACAGAGATTTTTTTCTTTTAACGAAGTAATGATATTAAAATAAAATATTATGTTCTTTTTATATAAATATGGACATATAAATTAGATAAATTTAAAATGATTTAAAATACGAAACAAATTTAAATTTTATTTTTTCAATTTAAACATTTATAAATTGATTTTTAACATTTATTAAATGTATTTTTAAATTAATTTTGTTGCTTAAGTGGAGCCTTCTAGATTCCGTTTAAGAAAATGCATTTTCAATAATACTTCATGGATGATATGGAAGACTATTGATTTATTACAGAGACATTTTACTATCAATCATGTTTTTTTCACTAAATTTTTTTATAGTTATATTAAATTTTAAAGAATATTATTATTTCTGTAATTATTTTTCAATATTAGTTTCAATATTAGTTTCATAAATCTCTTGAATATAACAAAAATACGATATTTTATGTAAAAACATAATAAATTATTTTAATATTTGATAAAAATAATTTATTAAAATAATGTACATTTTCAATTTATACATTTATTGAAAGTAACATCTTTTACAAATGAAATTATAAACCCAAATTTGTGCTAATAGAGGGATTTCAATTAAAATGCGGATAAGACAATCGTTCTAAGTTCTCTCTCTCTCTCTCTCTCTCTTTCCCTTTTTCCCTTCTTTCCTCCCTCTCTTTTTCCAAATGATCACTATCCTCAGCATGGCAGCGCTGAAAATCGTTCTAAGAGGAGAATCTTCGGCTTACTACCTGGCATTCGTGTATAACCTGTTTCAGTATTTGCGAGGTTAATTATTACTAATTCAAATTAATTGAATAAACATTAATGAAATATCAAGATTTAAATAACTTGAAATATATATGTAATTGTTGTTCAGTGATCGATTAAATTCAAGTAAATTATGTTATCTTATGTTAATTATAGTATAACTACTTACACTTTATATTAGACGATTGCAAAGATTCAGAAATTATATATTATGTATTAATATGTTATAAATAAGAAAGATTTATAAAACAACAATGACTGAATCAACGCAGGTAATCTTCATTTAATATTAAATATATTGATTTTTTTTATAGTTTTTTAATTTTTTATTTTTATAGTTTTTTTTTTATAATTTTTACTTATTTATATATGTTAACCTTACAGTTTGTCGAGCCGCCACCTATTTGGCCTGATATCAGATCAGAATTACGGGAATATATTGAATGTCCTGAACGATTGCCTATACATCAGCTGGATAATACTCAATGTTACTGGCTACGCAAATCTAATGTTCTTTCATTGTTGGAATTTGACTTAGCTCCAATTAACACCACACTGAAGTTTGATCGTGATCCAATAACAGGTAAGATTGGTGAAATACAAGAGAGTGTCTTGCAAGGTGCAGGAGAAACGGCAAGGAATTCTATGTCTATGACTCGTGCGCCTGGTCCACTTACAGATGGAGTTCGAGGTATTTTGATTTTATTTCGACATGTATATCCTACTTAAAATTTTAGTAAGATTTAATCACAAATTATATTAAATGATATATTTTCCACAGGTAATCCTAGTAATATTCCATTTTGGCCTGGTGGCTTTGATGAACCTAAAATACTTCAGACTGATGTCGTGGACGATATTGATTTTGAAAAGGATTTAAGAACGTTAGCCAAAGGATTCAGCTCAGGATTAGAATTCAAAAGTGACAATTGCACACCAATTAATTGTACATGGAATGAAGCAGAAGATTCTGAAAAATTCGTATCTGAAGAACTCGAAAAACTAAAAATCTATAATGATAATAATATAAATTTAATGTCTGTTATACATGAGGAAGGAAATTTGCTTGGTTCTTGGTCTTCAAAGAATCAAATCAAAGAGCCAAAGAAAGAGAATGTACAAACTTCGGATAATAATATTCCTTTTATAGACGATAATCCCATTTTATCCAAAGATATAGATATACCCGTTTTGAAAATATCCGAGAAACAAAAAGAACTTGCAAAGACAGAATGGGCAGAACAGCTGGATGTATCGGCACCAGTAACTGACTTTGACAAGAGAGTACCTGATCCAGCAATTACATTCAATTATGAATTGGATATTTTTCAAAAGCAAGCTATTCTTAAATTGGAAGAGAACAGTAATGTCTTTGTTGCTGCACATACATCAGCAGGGAAGACTACTGTTGCAGAATATGCTATTGCATTGAGTCAAAAGCATATGACAAGGTAGAGCTACAAAGTCAAAAATTTATTTGCAGTATTGTTATTATTATAATAGATATGTAATAGTTTTCTAACATTTCTAACAGTTTCCTGCTCTTATCTTTTATGTTTCAGAGTAATTTATACGTCTCCTATAAAAGCATTATCAAATCAGAAATATCGTGATTTTAAGAGGAAATTTGAAAGTGTTGGACTACTAACAGGTGATTTGCAAATAAATCAAACTGCTTCATGTCTAATCATGACAACAGAGATTCTACAATCAATGTTGTATTGTGCATCCGATATTTTACGAGATTTAGAATTTGTTATATTTGATGAAGTGCATTATATAAATAATGAAGATGTACGTAATATTGATTTTATAAAAATGATGCGTATATTCTATGTAATTTAATCATTTTTCTTTACATTTGTTATCTATATGTAAAAATTGCCTTATATTTTTAGAGAGGTCATGTATGGGAAGAAATAGTCATTCTGTTACCACAAAATATTAACATAGTAATGTTATCTGCGACTGTACCAAACCCGATAATATTTGCAGATTGGGTTGGTCGTATCAAAAAACGAAAAATGTATGTAATTAGCACTTTGAAAAGACCAATACCTCTTTTACATTACTTGTATACTGGCACCGATGGTAAAACTAAGGATGACAAATTCTTAGTCCTTGATGGCAATGGCCTTTTTTTATTAGATGGGTAAATCACTTATTGTACTACTCTTATGTATTTTTGAAAGAGAAACATAGCAATATTAATTTCTGATATTTTTATATTTTATATTCCAGATGGTACAAAGCAACGAACGCATCTGATAAAAAAAAGGACAAAATCCCAAAGGATTTTAGAAGGAAAATTCAAATGACACCTAAACAAGAAGAAGTATTATGGAGAGCATTTATAAGCCATCTTCAGAACAACGTACGTTGTGTTAATCATATTACTTTTTATTCCACTAAAAAAATTTACAGTAATTATTTTTTATGTAAAATATCAATTTTTTATAGGATATGTTACCTGTCGTCGTATTTACTTTGTCAAGGAAACGCTGTGATATGAATGCTGCTACGTTAAGAAATCTCGATTTAACGACCGCAAGAGAAAAGCATCAAGTGCATGTATTTTTCCAATCTAACATAAAACATTTGAAAGGTAGCGACAGAGAATTACCGCAAGTACTTATGATGCAAGAACTTTTAGAGAAAGGCGTGGGTATACATCACAGTGGAATATTACCAATTTTGAGAGAAATCGTAGAAATGTTGTTTCAGAATGGAGTTGTAAAGGTAACATTACAAAGAAATGTAGAAAAATAAAAAAAAATTTCAAAATTATATCTTAAAAATTCTTAAATTTTTAAGATGTGTAAAGAAGATTTAACAAAATTGCATTTTACTTATATTTTTAGTTATTATTCGCGACAGAAACTTTTGCCATGGGAGTTAACATGCCAGCACGTACAGTGGTGTTCGATTCTATACGAAAGTACGACGGCAATAATTTTCGTACTTTGTATCCAACTGAATACATACAGATGGCTGGTCGTGCTGGACGGCGAGGTCACGACACCACGGGAACTGTTATAGTAATGTGCAGAAATGATGTGCCACACTTTAACGACTTGAAACCTATGATGTGCGGAGAACCACAAACATTAGAATCGAAGTTTAAAGTCACATATTCTATGCTTCTGAATTTGAGAAGGGTAAATGAATCTGTCACTGTTGAAGCAATGATGCGCAAGTCTTTCAAAGAATCACCGTTAGCCTCGCAAGAAGCAACATATAGCAATGAGTTACGAAAAATCGAACGCGAGTTGTTAAATTTGCCGGCTTTGACTGAAATGCAAAAGAAGCTTTCTGCGTTCTATCAAAAAGCGGTCGATTATCTGGAAGATGTTAAATTTCTGAATCCTTATTTGTTTGACTCCAAAAAAACAGCAAAGAATTTAACCGAAGGCAGAATCTTGCTAGTATCATACGAAAATCATTATAATAAATTAGCCCTATTATTGCAAGTTTTATATCTCAAAAATTCTACACAATACAAAGCGTTGATACTTAAGGATGCGACCGCGTCCACTTCCGAAGCTGGTGAATTCAAAAGTCCTCAGATATTCAAGAAATGGTGCGAGATTATTAGTCTAACGAAAAAAGAGATATTTGTCCCAAACATTAATCCGTCGCATGAGGTTGTGACTTTATCCGCATGGCACATATTAAAAATAACCAACTGCCAGATAAAAGTCGATTGCTCTCTGATATTAAATGATTGGGAAAAGAGGCAAATCTCACGATTTAAGTAAGAAATAATATAACAAAGTAATAAAATTTTTGGAGTTTTACTTATCGATTCTCATTTTTTAGAAATGATCCACCAGGACAAACATGTCAGACAGCGGTCCAAGAATTGACTTCTCTATCATTTAATGCTTCCACCAATATACATGTTCTACAGCCATATATCGAACCTTCATCGAAAACTGATTTTAAATTGAGAATACAACATAAAGACAAATTAAAAGCTAGTCTTAACGACATGAAGTGCATGGAAATACCAAATTTTGAAGAACAATTTAGACCTGTATTCGAACGAAATCAACTCGAGGATAAAAAGCGACAGCTTCAACTTAAACTTAGTGATGAAGGAATGGCGTTATATCCGGATTATTTGAATATGGTAGCACTCCTCAAACATTTGAGATACATAGATAACGATGAAAGAGGTTTGTATATTAAATGTATCAAAATATATAATTACATTTATAATTGTAATTTAATATTTATTTAAAACAATATATTTTAAACAATATATTTTTTTATTAGTGGCCTTAAAAGGAAGAGTTGCGCTACAAATGGGTAGTAATGAATTGCTGATAACAGAATTGATTCTCAAAAATGTATTAACTGTTTTACAACCGGCGGAAATAGTAGCGTTATTATCAGCACTAATTTTCCAACAACGTACGGATGTCGAACCTAAACTCACGCCAAGTCTCACTAATGTATGTGTTAATCCAACATTTAAAACATATTATATCTTTTTACAAGAAGATATAATTTTATTATATCTTTTTAAAATAATCTTTTTTTAGGCTTGCATGATAATGAACGAGGTGCATGGAGAATTAGAACATTTAGAGCAATATTATCAATTGTCAACATTGCAACCATTGAATTTTGGCTTAGTAGAAGTTGTTTATGAATGGGCGCAAGCTAAATCGTTCGCCGAAATCATGAAGATGACGGATGTCCAGGAAGGAATTATAGTTCGTTGCATACAGCAACTTGGCGAAACCTTGCGAGACGTTAAAAATGCGGCTGTAACTATAGGTGATCCGGTTTTAAAAGAAAAGATGGAGGAAGCATCAACCGCAATTAAACGCGACATAGTTTTCGCCGCATCTTTATATACTCAAGATTGATTACAAATAAGTAATTTATTACTCAATATAATATCGATGAAATTGATAACTTTTTTAATAAAAAAACAACTATTGAAATATTGTTGCAAATACACATTCTGTTCATAAAAAAGTATTCTATAAGGGTGTACGATATGTATAAAGTATTTTTTTCGATAATTATCGCAATAAAGATGAAACAGATAAAGATTAGTGTTATATTTGGAATAAATGGATAACTAAAGACTAATAATAAATCATATTTATGCTAACTCTGAAATTGAGAATACAACATTTTGCTAAAAGATATCTGATATCAAACAAATTATGTTAATTTACAATGCTTATTTTGCATATTATTTTACATCTCCATTAAAACGATGTTATAATGCACGTTGATCGGGATTATTTAGATTCCCTTGATCTTTGTTCAATTCCGAAATGCATGCCCACTGTCCTTCAGAATTTTCACGCCAGAGTGATACTTTGTTATCTCCACCGCTAACCGCCAAAATACCACCTGTTAATGACCAGCTAACATTCCAGATAACATCATCAAAAACATTAAGAACATTTGGTGTCCAGCTAGTATAATCATTGGAAGTCCATACAACTACACGGCGATCTTGTGAGCAAGATGCCAAAGCAGCTCGGGATGGACCAACTGCTGGTGCCCAGGCTACATCGCGAACCTATAAATACAACAAAAATATACATAAATACATAAATATTTATATAACAGTCAATTTAAACTCAATCATAGTTAAGTCATACCCAATCACTGTGTGCTTCTAGTTTATTTTCTTCTATCCATCTGTCACCATCCTCTTTCCATATCTTCACCAAGTTATCACAACCACCAGTGGCTAATCGCTTAACAGGTTCATTTCTCTGTTGAGTCACACTGGGATCAGCGCCTGAATCTACCGCTGGACACCAACTGACTGCATTGCATCCAATTGTATGAGCATTTGTTATTTTCTGCATGTGCCAAGTATCTCCAGTGTTTGCAAGGATGGAAACTGATCCGTCTGAACTTCCACAAGCCAGGATCAAACCAAACTCATGTGGCGCCCATGCGACTGAATTGACAGAAGAATCATGACCAGCATGCTCATATATCTTGGTCCATTCTCCAAGTTCCTTCCAGATAATTACTTTCCTAAACAAGCACGATCGTTAATTGTGCGTATGTCAAATATCTCAGCTATTACTACATTATTTAATACAATTGATTTAATTATTAAACATTATTATATTTCTGTAAATATATGTTACAGGGCGATGATAGGACTATGTACCTGTCATAGCTACAAGATGCTAAAAGATTGCCGAACTTGGGATGGGCCCACGCGACCTGCCACACGGGACCAATGTGTCCCTTGAGCACAGCAACGAGGCTCTGAGTACCATTCTTCAAATCGAATATTTTCACCGAGTTGTCGCTCGAGCAGGTAGCTAACCTTAAACCATAGTAATCCATTTCAGCGTCGTGAATCATGTCCTCGTGACCAGTGTCGACGGTATTTAAAACGGACACCATTGTAAAAAGGTAATTATTATGTGTATCGCAAGATATTTTAAATATTCGTGAAACGATGGATTGGAAAGTAAAAGCAATCGCGCGTATAATACAGGTTATGTTGACGTAGTGGCTTGTCCTGTTCTGTCACTTACGTGGAACATATGCGCAAAAATCCTTTGCGCATCATCTGCGCACGCAAAAGAAATTCGTATTTTCTTTTTCTTTCTTTTTCTCGCGCGCACCTAGAGTGTTCATAATTCCTAGTTTTATAATTATTATTAGTAATCTGTTTTGCATAATAATTGTATGCAACATTGATGAGTTATTAAATATGCATCTAATTATTTTATTCTATTTAGAATCTGCGTGAAAATACAACAGAAAAATTATATTAATAATTAAATATCATATATAATACCTTGAAAAGTATTTTTTATAACTAAATTATCAAAATATTTGATTAATTAAACTGATTGAATATTCTATTTTGGATAGCTAATTTTTTATTTAATGTGATTTCTAGTTTTATAATTATTACTTGTAATCTATTTTATAACAATTGCATTTATTTTAATAAATTATCACTTAAATGACTAATCATTTTATATAGTTTCAAATCTGAATAAAATTATAAAATAGAAATAATTGTAATTAAATATTATATAATTATTATATAATATTTTCAAAAATATTTTTGGTAGTTAGATATTTAATATTTTGATTGATTTTAGAATTTTGAATTATACCTGACTAATTAAATTGATTTCATATATATTTTGTGTAGTTTATTTTTTGTTTAAGGTTGTGTTAAATAAAAAGATAATTAAACAAAGTAACACTTTCAGGTATGTTTTTTACCTTTTTTTATAAAATATCTAATTCCTTTACAATTAAATACAATTTAAGCAATTCTAATAAATAATTTTTATTTCTATATTAATGATATGCATATATATATATATATAAATGTCAACCTAATGCATATATTTTTTACATAATAATCATAAATAAAATCATTTAAACGATTTTTTTGTTATTTCTGTTTCCGTCTTTTTCGAGTTAGTTTGTTAATTTTATCGATTTTGCCCATGCAAATAGAAATAGATATAGAGCATTCAAAAGTATTCAGTCACACCAAAAATATACTAATAAAGTCGATATTGTCATCTGATACATAATATTTTGAAAAATCGATATTTTAAAGTCAATGCATAATTCGATACACCAATTGAAGAAAAATATATCTTAATATATTATATTCTTGTTAAGAGAAATTTCTCTCTGTCATTAAATTCGCCATCTTCGCAAGAATTTATAAATTTTAAACTTGAACCCATGCCATTTTAGTTGGAGTATTGGGAGAAAGACTCATTTTTATAAAATGATTCAAAACGTCAAACACAGGATGATAAAAATAAAAGTTTTTTTTTTACATTTTATCAAGCGTGAAATAGTGGCATACAAAAAAAACTAATTTATTTCAGCATAACGCAGCATAGAAAAAAATCATATGATTTTTCACTTCACGATATCATGATCCAATATGATTGCAATGAGAAAATAGGAACTTGATCAATTTTATCTATTTTATTCTATTCATATCCGTACTAAATACCAGAGATGGATAGAAAATCAAATAAGCAAGTAAAGATTAATTCCTGAGACGAGGAATCATCAACTCGTTTCACGATCTATTCCAACATTTCCTGTCACAGTTCTATGTGAATCCTGTTATACGCGAATTTTAAACTTATTAAACATTCACGTATTCTGTATTATACATTTATTTCGCTTATTGGAAAGCGTATGAGCGCAAGCGTGCTGCAAATATGACGTGAGTGTACCATGATTGATTTATGATACACAATGATATATAAAATATTGTTCCATTGTAACTAAGTTGCGATTTTAATTATTCTGTATTCTCATCACATTATAATTCTTTATTTTTTGTCATCCATTTTACTATATCCGCGCGTGACGTAATGTCATTTATTTTACTATGTCCGCGCGCGATATTTCCGATTGCAGTTTAACTCCCTTACATATCGGATACACATTTTACGCGTGATGTACTCGACTCGAACGAACGGCTGTATTAAGCGGAAATTCAGGGCGATGAGCCCACGGGTTCCGGTTGCTCGCGATGCTCGGGTCGCCGTGAGATCCGGGCGGAGGATCGGTAGAAGGATCAGGAGTGAGGGGGAATGTCGGTCACTGGGCCTCACCTCTCTCGGCGACGAGCGTTCCGTGCCACGTTCCGTGCTCCGGCTCGAACTCGAGCCACCTAGGAAGTGCACGTTCGTTGCGGAGAATCCCCTACCTCTCCATTATGTTCCTCTTTCCCAGCTGTGGCAGCTCGTTCTCTGGCATTCCTCCTGTTTCCGTCGCCTATGTGAATTCAAACCAACACGCGCCGCGCTCTGACAACGTTGAAGGATTCTTTCCCCGGTGGTATTTCTCTTTTTTTTTATCACTCTGACTGGATTCTCCCGCACGCAACAAAACGAAACGCGAATACAATACCTCGCTCGAGAATCACCGATATCCATTTTTAACGATGGCTTTTTCGATTGACCCAGATTTTCCTTTAATCTAAATGTCATAACAACGAATTTGAAGTCACAAAGAATCTATTCTTTATTTATAATTATTTTTTTTTATTTGTCTCGATGTTGTCCATTTATAAATCCATACGTATAGATTAGTTTTGAAATAAATTTTTCTTTGTTTCGAAAATATTTTTACACGTATGTATATAGTATTCTTTTTATTCTGTTCTTTTGTACGCAGATTTTGCATATAAATCATCGGAAAACAATCTTGAAAAACAAGTTTTTACAAATGTCCAAATTGGCCTCGATTAAATTCACATAAATGGGCATTTATTATACATCCGCGCGATCATTACTTTCGCAAGCAGTTTTTGCAACTTAATCGCTCAGTTGTTGACACGTAAATCGCATTTAAAAATCGCGAATAATTGCATTAATTAGGAAAGGTGTAAAAATAGGGATCGAACATGCATGAACATCATGGCCGTTTATCCGTGACGTTTCAACGCGTGCAAAAGCACGCGAGAAAGAAGCGCGAAAGCGCGCGTTTGCGTTCCATCGCGCGAGTTTCCACGCCGACGCGGCGCGATTCAGCCAAAAGTACCGCGAGTACCGTAAAGGTGAATAAGCGGGTCGCGCACAAGCATTGAATTCCTCGCCTACCAGAGTCGGGATCACATTAATTTTCAACACGCGCGTTTAAATTACACCGACGATTCATTCAACGATGAAAAAAATAGCGGAAAATGAGCGCAACGTACACGTAACGCGCTGTGACGTACGTATCCGATAATCTCGTCATGGTAGCAAAAAAGATATTAGCATTTTACTCATAAAATATCAATAAGCCATCCATACGTTTATAATCAACAGATTGGCATCCGTGTAATATTAAATTAATGAACATACATGCGCTTAGAAAGCTAAATTTAAAAAGTATATTTTCTAAATCATTGTATTTCGAATAACATAGGATATTAATTAATTAATCAAAATTCAAAAACTACTATAAAATTATAATCTTATTATTATTATTAACTTGGACATTAATTTATTATTTAAGATCAGTTAAATCTCAATTCTGGCTCCACGTGGGAAATTTACTTCTCAAATATTTATAAAATGTAATTTATAAAATCTTGTTGTATAGCTAGAAGCTTGACCGAATTTTATATATAAGGTATTTTCGCATTGTAATAATATTTTTATTAAAATTAAAAGTTCAAAACTGTAGTTAAATCCAAGTTCGTCAACAAGTTTCAGGATCGTAGCTATTCATTATCGCAAGTGTACTTGTTGTTCGGAAATTTTCGCTTTTTCTTCTTTTTTTCGCGGCTGTGGTAACGAATTTCTGGGCAAGGAAGTTTAACCTGATATTGGAGAAGTGTCTTTCTCGATGTGTAAGTGGAATCTCATCACACACATTGCTCCGATGTGTAAGTGGAATCTCATCACACACATTGTTCCTGGGTAATTTTCGTTCGCATCGATTAATCTCGTTTATTATTGACATGACCGCGTCGCGACATGACATTTCGAAGCTTGTGCAGCGACAATCTAACTGGCCAATAAGCGTCTCATCGCAGTCGATGTTCACTGTAAAACGCGAAAATATTTCCAATAATAGCCTCGAATGAAACTTCAATATAGATCAATATGGCAAATATGGTGGACATTTTTTAATTCAATAATTATTTACATTAAGAGAATATCGATGATTATAATTCATAAAGCGACAATTAATAATTGCTAAAGTCGCACAGATATAATTGATCTTCACACAAAAAAGAACAATTTTACTGTAGGCTCTTCGGCCAGATACAAATCTAAAAATAAATTTTGTGGAACCATCAAAACTATCATATAGGATATTTATAATGAAAATACCGCAGAATTTTTTATATTCTAGCAATTAATTCGAACGTCCTATATTGTCGATGGCTCGACAAAATTATTCTTCAGATCTACTTCCAGCGAGACTGTTTCTTTCCGCGAAATTGTTCTCCCGAAATCTTCTTTCGGCAATCGATTTCGATCCCGAGCCGACGTCACGGTGCGACGCGGTGGTGGTGATCGTGTCGTACGTCGCCAGTAGGGCCGTAGAATTCTAGAAGGGGGTCATCATACGAGGCCGCCGAGCGGCGGGCCAGCCGAGAACCAGTATACGGGTGTCGTTCTGCGCGGACTGAGCGGAAGAAGCGAGAGACGCGCGTCGGAGGACCACACGAGAGCGGCGTCGCCGTGTCGTCGTTGTAAATAAAACGAAGCGCAGTCCGTGACGCGTCGTCGCGCGGTGCTACTGCACGCGATTTTTCACGCGGGGTGCTAACTCAAAGGGGTTTACCTCGAAAGGATTTTACACGAGTTCCGGTTCGTCGGCATCATCCTCGCGAACGGATACGTCTACGATCGCGAGGTGAGTTTTAATTTGCAATGACGCTGGTGAAAACAGAGGTTTTCTCTCGAATAACGCCGAGAATAACGCCTTTTTAATTTTGAAATGTATATTATCATAATTTATATAAATTTTATTAATATTTCTGCTAAATGCAAGTCTTTTTAAGAATATTTTCTTTATATTCTGCAACTCTGTATTTCATACCGTGTTCATTTTACACATCTTTAATGTAATTCTTCTTATGTATTTATGTATTTATGTACGCTGTCATCTTTTCTTGACGATAGAAAAATGATTAATGATCAATTTTCTGTTGTAAAATTTACATATAGTAATAAATTGTTAAGACAATACAAATTGTCAAATTAATTAGATCTCTAAAAAAAAATCTTGGTTTGTAAAAAAATAAAAGCAAAATAAATTGACTGAATAATTGTTTACTGGTAGTTCTATTAAACTATGGTTTTATTTTTTCTGAAACAAAAATTCATATTGTTATGCCGAACAAATTGAAATCGAAATATGCTTTTCTGAGATCGTTAGACAAATGAATCGATTTTTCACAAAAAAATTATAAAACACCAATTACTTTCTAGCGGAGATATATTCTCAACATGCGAAAAATCTTTCTTTCTCATCACGAGATGTTCGCTGATTTATTTATGAGCGCGGAGAAATTCTTTTCCCTCCGAGAAAATACTTTCCAGGCCGCGATTAGAATAAGGCTTAAACGGATCCCCCGATATTCCCCGAGAAGAAGAGTATCGTGGGGATTCCAAGGGATAACTTAATCTTTTTTTTTTAAATAGTTTACATTAAACCATGAACTCCAGTAAATCGCCTCGATATTCAACCTGTCGCTTTCGTAAAAATTTGCGAATACTCATTTTTTCGCAGGAGTACAGAGTTATGAGAGTTATTTGTTGCTTAAATGAACAGTAAATTTCCGCGTCTTTTTTTATATCTATTATAGTAGTAGGATTAAAACAAATTCCGCCTTCATACTCGTAACTCTTTCAGCACTTAAATAGAAAGTGATCGTATCGAAACTTTTTATAGACATTATGCGGTACATCGTAATCGAGCATTATATTTCCTGCATTTTTGTGGTATAACTTTCCGTGTAAAGCTTACATACGTAATACCACCAAAAAATTATTTGCAGCAAACGTCAAATTCCTCTTTCTCAAGCAATGTCTTTTGAAACATATATTATTTATTTTTCTTATAAACATATATTATTTATTTTTCTTTAAATTTAAACGTAACGACATAGTAAAATCTATTTATGTAACTTGTAAAAAGAAAATTTAAAAAAGTACTTTATTTAACTTGTTGAAAAATTTAAGAGAGTCTTATTTAGCTTGAACATGGAAATTTAAGAGGGTGAGTACGCAAGTGTACTTCATTTCTAAAAAAAAGGAGGTGAATTTTACTTCTCTATATATTTCAATTAATGTATATCTTGTTAAATATTATAATCTTTTCTATAAATTCTTGCATAAATCGATACCGTGCCCGAGTTGACTGATTCCCCGCGCAAATACTTTCTAAAGCAGCTGGAATGCGATATCCATATAAACGCACGTTTTCCCGAATCGTGCCCTGCCCGTGCACACCTCGCGTGTGCATTTGCACGGGATGCACCGCTAAGAATTTTCAAATAGCGTGCCCGGCACATAGCGGAATCTTCGCCTCGAATCGCGACGGAGTCGCCGTTTGTTACCGCGTTGTATAACGTTTTCTATTTCCGCGATATCTTCGTCCTCGCGCGACGCGGACGTGAAAGCAGTTTCTTTCTTTTTTTTTCTTCACGCGTGCCCGTTCCATCACTGTTCCAAGGAACTTTCGACCGAGAGAACACAGGTAAACTTAAATTTTTATGAACATTAATATGTCGTAACGAAACGCGTAAATTAAATTAAATTTGCCGTAACATATCCATCATGTGTAGTAACACGTTCCGCGATTACTAGACGTAACGAAAGGTTCCATTTGAACAATCTAAGTTCGGCGGTATATTCCAATTTTATTAAAATCTAACTCGTGCAAATAATTTTTGTGAATTCGAATTTTTCATTTCTCATCAATCCATAAAATTTCGTCTATATGAATAAATGCTCAAAGAGAACAATATGATGTGACGTTTCAATCGATGAGATGAAGTATCGAGATATTTGGGCAAAAGAAAATTTTTCAATGCTCCTCTGTGCTTCTCTGTAGCAATCTACAGTACTTTGTAGTCGCCTAGCTGACAACACCCGTCGCGTTACTTTCAAAAGCACACAAAGAATTTCCAATAGCGTTGCGCGAGGAAAACAGTGGCGCGCTCGTAACTTCCGACAGGAGAGAGAGAGAGAGAGAGAGAGAGAGAGAGAGAGAGAGAGTACGTTATACGTCGAC